GTACTCGTAATGCAGTGTAGTGTATATGTATATATGAACGGTCCACTGCAATAATGATGAATGTCCTTTTTTCTTTGTTTTAAAATAATTAGGCTTTAATTTTATAAACGGTGAAAAGAAACTTAGATTTAAAGATAAAGATATAATTTTAATTTTAGTTAAAAGATAGGTTTTATAGTATTATTACTTTGGCAAATAATCATTATTTGGGTATTATAAACTAAATAAAAATAATATAATCTTAAGTAAGTCTTCAAAAATCAGGACTATAATGATCACTGTCCACTCTGCATTCACAGTCAATAATGATAATGTCCAAATGACTGGTTTAGTTATCTTCTGATTGTTTTTTATTTGCTGCATGATGAGGTTCGCTGTAATAGCGTTTTTCTTCAGGCCTACAGATTATTGTCAGGAACTGCAAGTCGTTATATTTCGCTGTTGATATATTCAGTTTCTCTTGATAAGCTAAATCAGGTAATTTAAATTCTCCTTCATTAATACCTGCCTTCGTAGATTGAATAGAACTTGTATGTTAACCGCACTTGATTCCCATTGACTATTACTAAAATTTCTGTGAAACATGAGCCGCAGATGTTCTTTCTGGACTCTAAATTCACGTAGAGGTCTTATGGGAAATGGACAAGATTTTTTTGTAAAACGGTTTAAGAAATGCAGTCCAGCCCTTGAATGCATCTTGTGAACATTTAATGATATTGAAAGGTTTCGGTCTCTGTCGAGCTCCACATACGTGTTCAGCCCATTTTTCAGGGAGTTCAATCCTAGCCTTTGGATTTATGAAGGCCATGTTTCGATCGCATTCCACATAAGAGTGACCTCTTATCGGGAATATCAATGTGACAGACTAAGCGTTTGCAACAGTAAACCAAGTAGTGTAACATTCTAAAAATGGTGTAATTTTTATTTTAAACGCCACATGAATCACAGAAGATTGTAAGACTTGCCCTGCATATACATTTCATGGCATATAAAATGAAAGAGATGAGAGGATTCATCATCCGATCCTTTTTTTCCAATACGCTCATGGTATTCATAGAAATAAGACAAAGAATCAGCAAGGACATGAACATCAAACATAAAATAACTAAGCTACCTTTTATAGTAAACGTCGTTGGTAGTTATGTTTGGCACAGCAAGATTTTTTGAAAAAACCATTGATATCGCGATTGTTGTGGCATCCTGCCTAGCCCTCAAACGAGCTTTTCTCTTTTTATCATAAAATATTTTTATTAACTGTTTTAAGAGTGTCGATTTGCTTGTACATTAAATCAGTAGTTTGTTTAGGAAGCTGTGTTTTCATACGTGTACCCCGTTTATCTTTTTGGACAACACCATGCTCAGCCAGTGATTTCTGAATAAATTGCAGTCTTCTTCCAGTGATAACATGTAAGGATAAAACGCTTTTCTACACACTGGTATCTCGTAATTATCATCACCAATCATGCGAATCTTGTGTGAATATGATTTATTGTGTAATTTTACATTTTCTGACTGACAAAACAATAGACAAGATGGCGGGCATTGAAAGGCGATGGACATTTATCATTATTACTGCCGTGATCACGTGTGACGCTGAGCGTTCTAGCTGTGTATACAATTATTAATAATTTAAAATTAAAAATTTTGTACAGCCGACTTCAATATAAGTTATTAAGAATAACTCAAAAACTATTAGTCTCACCTTGATCAAATTCATATGGGACCACACGAGATGTATCAGTTTTCATATAAAAAAAGAATCATCGAAATCAGTTCACCCAGAAAAAGTTATGAGGTAATACACATAAAAAAAACAAAAAAAAATACAGTCGAATTGAGTATCGTTTCCTTATTGGAAGTGGGCAGAAAATAATAAGTTTTCTTTAGTTTAAACACTTTATTGCTGTGAAATATCTATCTTAGCATTTTGTTTATATCTAACATACAAAAATAATACAAAGTTTATATCTAACATACAAAAATAATAAAAGAAATACAAAGAATTTAAGCTAAAAATATCCATTGTCATCTTCTACCTCAAAATCAATAGCACCAGTATAAACTTCAATATCATCTTAGTTGCTCTCTTTTATTTTTTATAAAAATTCTGTGCATCTTTCGATATAAGGTGCATAATACTTTTTAAATCTCTTAATTTTGCCTCGGAAACGGTTTTCCCAGTGGGCCAAAGCAAGTTCATATCACTCTTGGACAAAGGTGATTATTGTCACACTTCTCCGTTCCGTTGAAGCCACATTATGACCCTCTTGCTGACCACGCTTATCTTTAAGGCAATTCGATAAGGATAACAAGGGAGCACACAGTTCACCTGATGCTAAGTGGTTGCCGTGGCCCATAGACATCTAAATCTATGCTCTTCAGTAGAGATCTTCTCTTGACATTTTTTTACACAATTGCAGCTATAATCGATGAAAACCTTGGAATCGATGATTTGCTTCTTAGAGTTCACATAGCTTTCGTTATTGTACCGTCCTTCTTTCTGTCTTATTTATTTTTATTTATTTTTTTTTTTTTAAAAAAAAAAAAACGTTACCCCCACACTAGGATTTTCTCCTGTATTGTGGAGGCAGTTTACAAACACAAATTTCACAAGGACAAACATCCAGACCCGGAACAATAATTTGTAGACCATACAAATACTTGTTCCGTGCGGGATTCGAAACCGCGCCCCCCAGCGCAGCAACTCATTGCTAAGCCACTGCGCCACGGAGCCGTCTAGCTCCCTATCATATAATATTTTTCTACCTCTGGTTGGTCTTGCTTGGTATGGAGATTCAGTTTCAGTTTCTTTTTCCTGCAATATTTCGCTGCTACTAATACTTGCAAGTACCGTCTCATTCCGTGTGTAATGGACTTCCGTTAACGTTGTTATCAATGACAGAATTTTCAGAGCTTTTATCAACAAATATACTATTTTCATCATGACACGAAATTATCATATCGATTCGACATTGCGACATCGGTCACTACAGGGAAGATGGACAGTCAGTGTTTGGGATACTTTTTTTTATTGAATCGTGTGATTTTGGAAATTGAAGCACAAGACACCCTAGTAATTTGATACTTCCTTTTGAACTTTCGTAAGTCAGCGCGCAGATTATAGTTAGCTCGTTGTCATTGGATATAGAAATGTTCATGCATTGTTTACTATCATTTGTGTATGTAACATTCTCCACTTACACTTAACACTCTAGGTGTATGTGGAGAATAGGAAGGCGGCTCTATACTTTTTTCCCAATATCCTCAACAGCATTTTCATTTGAAGCTTTACATTCTCATTCCCTTGCATCCATGCAAGCTCACAGGACATCTAACGCACAGAGGTCTATGCGTTAATTGGGAACATGATAGAAGGCCAATGCTTTTTCCAACTGATTATTTTTCATTGTTAACAATTGTCGAAGCTAGAAATAAGCACCTTTTCCCAAACAAAAGTGGTTCGTCAGCAAAATGCATCAAAATGCATCAGCAAAATGCAGCTGCAGAAAAAACCAAAATGTCATCTTCTGACATATTATATAATAAAATAAAATAGTTAAATTGCAACCTACCTGTAACCTGTAGTTTACACCTTCATAATTTAAGATGAAGGGATTTTTTTTAATTACAAGGATATGTCTCAATTAATCATCAAAATATTAATTTCGAATCTGAATTGACTACTTTTTAGGGTATAAAATAAATCATTAGTATTTAAGTACCTAGTTACCTAAGTTAAGAAGTAGTTAAAAAATCTCTTATATACACTTGTAGCTTTCCGACGACTAAGCTAAGAACAGAGTTAATACACTGTCACTTGTGGAACCAATCCACTTTGGCCAACAAAAAAAAAAAAAAAAGAAAAAACTATGTTGTATGGTTCCACTATACAGTGCCGAATTTGAAAGATTAGAAGGAACATGCCACTTGATGCCTTTAGAACCTAAGCATTTCCATTATACAAACAAGAACCAAAGTTACTTAGTTCCGTTTGGCACAAAAAGTTACAATATTTTGGTAACTAAATAGGACCAACCAACTTTGGTTCTTGTTTGCATGATGAAAATACTTAGGTCCTAAAGGCATCACGTGGCATGGGTCTTTTTAGCGCTTAAATTCGATACTAAATAGTGAACCATGCAGCATGGTTCTTTTCTGTTTTTTTTTAAAGTTGACCAAAGTGGGTTTGTTCCATAAGTGACAGTGTTGTATCTCTGTTTTTATTCGTCGGAAAGCTACAATTTTTTTGGGGAGATAGAAAGTGTCATTTCAGCGCCATCTATGTACCAAACTGAATTTCACTCAAACAGTAGGTTGGTTCCTGTTTGCGTAAATGGGTCCAATTTTAGTTCTCGGTACGGACCATGATGGCGCTTCAAATCGGCATAAGCATTTTGTATGGCATAGCCAGTCCAGCGTACTTGTATATATAGAGGTCAGTGGCTATAGTCTAATTACATTGTTCCATGACTTATAAACAACCTACCCCCAGAATTCCGCGACAACTTAAATATAAAACACATTAAAAAAACTTAAAATGTACTTTTTGGGTAATTTATAAACAAAAAGTTTCTACTTAAAACAGCGTATACGCTTTTGCTCAGGTCCAAATTAGGCTGTAATGTTTTCTTTTTACAAACTAAATTAATTATACTTAATATAACGTCGACTCAGGTCGCGTCATCACCAACCTTAGTGGTTTTTCTGTATGCGACTTTTAAGGATAGTTTTTTTTTGTAATGCTTTGTAATATGGTAAATAAATTTAAAAAAAAATTAGCCCTTACGTAAATACACTTAAATGTCTACCATGATAGCCATTTTCAAATTAACAGGATACTGTAAGTGAGTGTGACGTGAGCCTCCGCAAAGTTCTGATAATTTATTGTAATTAATATAACATGGCAAATATTCCTCGTATGCGGCAATCTATGGGAAGAACCAAGTTCCAAGTATAATCATTTTATTTTATATTCATATAATAAGTCTTTACTTTTGCAGGCAGATTCTGTTCAGCCTCAGGTGGACGCTTCCCCCGCAGCAGCGACTCAAGATAGCACAAATGAAAACAAACAAGAAAGTAAACCAGTAAGTTTTTTTTTCTATTATTATATTTACGGGTATATTTCAAGATGTTGTCCCATGTTAGCCGAGGGCTTATAGTCCCATCTATACGTGAAACAATCTACCTACCGTCTTACTAACCTAGCATGTCATATATGTACATTTTGTTTCGTAGGGAATATGTTTAGAGTATAACGTAAATAATATTACATCACGTCACGCATGTAATCCTCGTTGGTAGCAAGAGTCCAAATAGTGAAAGAGAAAAGAGTTTAGATGGAAAATTGTGAAAGAAATGACGGGTGGCTGGCTCCCATCGCCTAAACAATTATAATCCTATACTCATTAATCGCCCTTTACATGTTAGACAAGTAACCTTAAGGAAGTACAATAGTACCTATAAACAAAGAGTATATAATCACTACGTTTACCTTTATATACTTACCAGTAAATTCTTAGTCTATGCTCATAATAATTGCTTATTATTTTACAAACTTCACACATGATTAATCAATTACGTCATTAATCAAAATAGACACACGTCACGTCAAAGCCCTACAAATCTTTATAACAGTTATTTACAATTATTATTGTATGTGGTATACATGAAATAAAGTTTCAAATATGAGATCAATATGGACCAGTCATTGGGGCATTGATGATGGAAGGGTATGTTTAACTAGGGAGGTAAACTATGAAACGTGTAAAATTGGATAATATTATTTTATTCATTGGAACGAAGTTCCTTATCGGATGGTACGGGTTTGGAGGATGGGAGCTAGGCGACAAAAAGTGTAAGATTTTTTCGTCGCTACCCCTTGTGTCATAGTGTAGACGGCCTTGGCGGCGAATTAGGGAGTGAGAAGGAATAATATTCATCTCCCTCGCACTTTTTCTTATCTTGCCATGAAAGAAATATTATTTTATTTCAAACTAGCTGTTCCCCGCGACTTCGCCCGCGTGGCGTTATTTTTCGCGGAACCCTAAAATAAAAGCAGCCCAAGTTATAATATCAGCTATATGCCAGTGTGTATAAATATTGACAAATATTGACATTAATATTTATACGATACTAACGTCACTCAATTGTTTTGCCTTCCCGGAACCCCTCCACGAACAGTTAAACTTTATGGTATGGTATTAAAGTTCAAATTGACTTTTGAGTATTATTACGAATCTTTTGTATGGGAATATAGAAAAGTGTTGTTTTTATACTTTTTCAGGCAATTTTTTGAATTTTTCTCTCCGTAAGAACCATCTTCGTACTTCAAGTAATATTATAAAAAAAGAATTAGCGAAATCGGTTTAGCTGCTCTCGAGATTTGCGCTTAGCAACACATTCAGCGATTCATTTTTATATTATAGATGACGCTTCATTTTAAGAGACGCTAGTAATTCATTTATTTGTATTTGTTAATCAATAATATAATACCTACGTTTATCAATAATAATATTCTACGCAAGGAACTTCGATCCAACCGAGTGCTCCACGACACTCACGCATTTTTTTAAATTATATGCAGCATTTCAAAAATTCAAGGCTAAATATTTAACTACCTCATAGACTGTCTCAAATAGTTTCTATATTTACGTACCAGGATTTACCATAGTTGCCACACTCGGCAGGAGGGTTAGCAACTGATATGAGAAAGATGCTGCTGCTAATCCCCTGTTTCATTTTACTCTGTCGGTTCTTTTGACACCCACGGTAGGATTATTTGTATAGAATATTAATATGTGCGATCTATGAAAGTAGAAGGATATTCATGCGATCAGACGTTTTACATGTATTCTATTTAGTACTTTAAGGTAGATTTTGTAAGTTGCACACTATAATGATAGTACAGATATAGTACAGATAGAGACGTGTGATATAGTAAAAATCTAACCTTAAAATCTCTTAATGTACCAACATAAGAAAAAGAAAGCATACTACGAGGGTGGATTGAAAAGTACTCGGCCTAACCAAGAAAATAAACAAATACTAAATCAGTTATATTTTTATTTTTCTACATAATCACCATCAAGTTCAATACACTTTTGCCACCTCCCCTTCCAAGCATTTAGACCGTTGAAAAAAAATGATTCTTCCTTAGAGTCAAAATATGCGTCTACAGCTGCTTTGACCTCGTCGTTTGTCGAAAATCTTTGACCTCCCAAGTGCTTTTTTAGGTTAGGGAACAGAAAGAAGTCTGATGGTGCCAGATCAGGTGAATACGGTGGATGCGGTAACAGTTCAAGGCCACAGTTGTGAATTTCAGCCATTGACTGTACTGACGTGTGAACACGGGCATTATCTTGATGAAACAGGACTTTTCTTCTGAGCATTCCTCGACGTTTTTCTTTTATTTCCTCTCGTAAACGACGTAGTAAGGTGCAGTAGTAATCAGAGTTTATATTCTGACCCCTTTCAAGATAATCAATCATAATCACACCTTTCGAGTCCCAGAATACTGAAGCCATCACCTTATTTGCCGACAAAATCGACTTAGCCTTTTTAGGGGGTGGTGAACCAGGTCTTCTCCACTGTTTTGATTGTTGTTTTGTTTCCGATGTACAGTAATGAACCCATGTTTCGTCCATAGTAACAAAACGATTCATAAAACCATCTGCATCGGCTTCAAATAACTCCAAACAGTCGCGTGAAATAGTCAATCGCGTCCTTTTTTGTTCAACTGAAAGCAGTCGCGGAACCCACCTCGCAGACACCTTGTGGAAACCCAACTCGTTGACAATGATGTTTTGAATTCGTTCATAAGAGATGCCTATAATCTCGGCTATCTCTCTAATTTTTAATCTGCGGTCTCTCATTATTAAATCAAGTACTTTTTTAATATTTTCGTCAGTAGTTGACGTCGAAGGCCTTCCAGAGCGGGGTTCATCTTTCACACTCTCTCTACCACGCTTAAATTCTGCTATCCATTTTTTGACGGATGAATATGACAAAGCACAATCGCCTAATGTACTGACCATGTCATCATGGATGGCTTTTGATGATAGCCCCTTCTTATGGAGGTACTTAATGACGGCACGCTGCTCGATTTGCTCCATTCGCGAAAATTATGTCCGATTACTTTGTTAATAAATTTATAAAATCACAACTAATTATCGCACACGTTTCGAACTTCACACAATGAACTAGTCTGAACTGAACTAAATAATGTGGGTAGATTTGATTTTTAGAATTGAATGGATCTGTGTTAGGCCGAGTACTTTTCAATCCACCCTCGTATGTAAATTTCACAATACTAACAATATTAACAATATTAACACGCGAAATAAAGAACAACCAACCTATGTGGCAAATAATTTTTTTAATAAATTATATTAGATACGAAAAAAAAAATTGGTTCCATTTAAGTAATAAGAAATTTAAAAAAAAAGATTTAATACAAAGATTTTTCACAATTTGGAAGAATATCTACAAAATTAAGTACTCTGCAGAAACAGAAACTTTTTCATTAAATATAGATTATAAATAATACTTATTGAAAGTCATCTTTCATTCATTCATTCATTTCATACATCCATTCATTCATACATTCATTCATTCTTTTGTTTAATTACCATTGGTTCGAAAAGAAAACCTCTGTCGTGGAAAGAACCAACAAGAAAACCCAGTGGGACTTTTTTTTTAAAATAACATCTTACGATCATGTATGTTACACAAATTAACAACACAACAAATTAGAAATAGCTTGGTAGCGATCACCTCATTCCCAGGGGTTATTATCATCCATAAATTCCTTAACATTATAATAACCCTTTTTATACAAACTTAGTTTAATAAAGCTTTTGAACTTTGAACAGGACAAATTTTGTATATTTTCTGGGATTTTGATGTAAAAGCGTATACATCGCCCGAAGAATGAATTACTGACTCAGTGGAGTCGAGTAATTGTTACTGCTAGCTTGTGTCTGTTCCTGGTATTTACAGAATGAATATCACTTATTTTTGTATGACTACTTTTATTTTTGTTCCTTAAATTTTTGTCGGAGCAACTCTAGGTTTTAAATCATAGATTGCTCTTAGGTCCCTCTTCTGTAAAACCAATATTATTTCAGAGTCAGTCGCATGTTCCCATAGCAAAATACCATACGACATTATGCTATGGAAATAGCTAAAATAAACAAGTCTAGCTGTTTCCACACTGGTAAGATTTCTAATCTTTTTTACAGCATATGCTGTAGAACTAAGTCTGCTTGTTAATTTTGGTATACGGGGGCTCAATTAAAGCTTCGCGTCTTGTGTTATTCCAAGAAAAAGGGTGGTATCGAGAACTCGACTCAGTTCCTCCTCATTTAAAATTATATTAGTATTTGATTGTTTTACTTAATTATAATTACTTAATTAATTGTGTTACATTTGGAGTCACGAATTTCATACATTTCGTTTTAATGTCATTTGAATGCAAGTTACTAACATTAATCCAATTTACTAATTTAGACATATCTTGTCATATCATTTTAATAAGTGTCATCAGCAAATAATACTATATTATGGTTATCGCCTACTATGTAAGGTAAGTCATTAAAATATACAAGAAACAGAAAGGGGCTGAGAATTGAACCTTGAGGCATGCCTATTTGTACTATCGTCCTGGAAGAGCTATTAATGACAGCTTTTAGCATTATGTTACTTAAATATAAAACAATTAATTTAAGAGCATTACTTCTTACACCATAATGTTGTAGTTTCCTGATTAATGTTTCATGGTGAACACAATCGAGTGCTTTGGATAGGTCACAGAATATACCCAAAGTATCCTGTAAATTCTCCCATGTATTGAAAATATATTTAATCAGCTCATCACCAGCATCAGTTGTCAAGTGACCCCTTGTGAAACCGAATTGATTTTTATGAAATAAGTTATTTACATAATTTTTTTTTTATATTTCATCAAGAATAATTTTTTCAAAAATTGCGTTGCCGGCCTTTTAAAAAGGAGTAGGCTTTTTTCTTGAAGGTCCCTAAGTCGTATCGGTCCGGAAAAATCGCTGGTGGTAAACTATTCCACAAGGAA